GGCCCCAGCACCGTCCTCCGCTGCGCAACCTCGGTTGCTCCCCTGGCCTGGCCTGGCCTGGCCTGGCCTGGCCTGGCCTGTTGGTGGGTCCTAAACACCATGTGAGGGAGCCCCTCTGGGGCTTATTTAGAGAGCTGGTGGGGGGTGAGCCCCTCCCCTAACTGGGGATGCAGCTGCCGGGGTGTTTTCAGTCAGTAGGAAGATGGGCAAGAGCCCTGCTGCTAATGGGATCTGAATGATGGTGCAGCCCGGCTGGGCTCACTGCCTCCACCAGGGGCGCTCCACCTTTTGGCCCCATGGGCCAGGTGAACAGCTTTGGGGCCAGGCCGTGGGGTCGGATCGGGCCCTGTGCTGACCCTGCCTGGTCCCACATGCACAGGTGGGGGCCCATGTGGGTTTGGCTGGCCCCATGCCCCCCATGCCAGGATTAGGGCCTGGGGCTGCACACCACCAGGCATGGCATTGCCAGGGCCCAGGCGACAAGGGGCTGGGGGTTGAGCACTCCTGACCTAGTCTTTCTGGAATCAAAGCTTGAATCTTGGCACGGTTGTTTCAGGGCATTGAGATGGCATGCTGAGTATCTGAATTGTGGTATGTGGCAAGACATTAAAAGCCACTGTCCTGGTGATTTTGTTTTATTTATTTATTTTTTACATAAACATGACATATTTCCAAAACTATTAACTTTAAAAGTGCTGACTAGGGTTTTCATTGCTTAAACGTATGAACCCTGTCAATTTTTGGTTTAATGTATATGTTTCTGTTAGGGGTGCATTGATAAAGATTTTTTGGGCCAATACCGATGGCCAATGATTAGGCATATCAGCCAGTACTGATCTGGTTCCTGATACACAGACCATCAGCTTGGAGAGCAGTGTCTGGCTGGTAAGTCTGTGGGGTAGAAGGAGTTGGGGAGGAGGGGGCAGATCGAAGCCCCTCACAGTGAGGGAGGGAATGGGACTGGGGCTGGGGCAGGCATTGCACAGCTGGGCTGGCGCAAGGTGGAGCTGTGGCTCGTGTGGGAGAGGTATGCGAGGCAGCAGGGTGGTGCTGGGCTGCTTCTGTGCACTTGAGGCTGGAGCAGGGGTGGGCAATTATTTTGGGTGGAGGGCTTACTGAGTTTTGGCAAGCCATCAAGGGCCACATGACAGGCAGTCTAGGGCAGCCAAATATTAATTTTCTAAATTTTTAGGGGCCCTGCAAGCTGGATAAAATGGCCTGGCGGGCCGCATCTGGCCTGTGGGCCGCACTTTGCCCACCCCTGAGCTGGAGGCTGTGTTGGGCTCCTCCTGGTGGGGCCTGGCCCAGGGCTGTGCTCAGAGCTGGCCGGGCAGTGGCGATGCTGGGAGGGGGGTGCTACGGGGTGGGCTACAGTCATTCCAAAATTCACTGTAGACCCCCTGCCCTGAGCACATCCCTGGCCCAGCCCCTGCCGGGAGGAGCCCAGTGCAGCTCGACCTTTCCCTGTGCACAGATCTGGGGGGCACATGTTCTCCATGCCTCCCCTGGGGGTGTGCACAGCGGTGGCTCCATCCTATGCCCTGCCCAGACCATCGCTCGCAGCTCCATCCTGCGCTCTGCCTCGCCCTAGCTGTGCAGCCCCTGCCCCAGCCTCAACCCAAGCTCCACTCTCTCCCTACCTGTAGAGGCCTCCATCTGCCCCCTGCCATACCCCTTCCCTCCCACAGGCTTCCTGGCCCGATACTGCTCTCCATGCTGCATTCCTGGCCGTGTGCATGTATGCAACATTTATCGGTGACCATATCGGCCACGTCAGCCAAAAAGGCCGATTTGCCAATAATGTCAGTTTTCCTTTTATCGTCGTTAATACGATATGGACCAATGTGTCAGTGCACCTCTAGTTTCTGTTTTAAAAACGAACTTTCCTCTTGAGTTAAAAATCCACAAGTGGAAGTGGGATGCTGTATGTCTGGCTGCATTTTAGATGGTCAGTGTAAATTGGAAAAACAATACATTCATCTTTTTTTTAGTTATATTTACCCATAACAACAAATGTTAGTATATTAACTGAGCCAGGCGTTTATCCCTGAAGGCTGATTTTTCTCCCATATGTAGTTGAGCAGTTCAAGATATTTGTCAGTTGTCTAATTGTGATGTCTTCATCCCAGAAATCACTGTAGTTCAGTAGAGCCGTGTGTGTGTATCATTAGAAACTAAGGTATAAACCATTATGTAGAGCCTTATAAAGGGTTATAATTCATATTCAAATATATGAACAAAGTATAGCCCTTTATAAAGGCTCTACCTAGTGGTTTATACCTTGAATTCTCATTATTTAAAAGTAACTTTTTTTTTTTTCTCTCCTCAGTATGGGCCTGTGTTTAGCTTCACTATGGTGGGCAAGACATTTACATATCTCTTAGGTAGCGATGCTGCTTCTCTGCTGTTCAACAGTAAAAATGAAGACCTGAATGCAGAGGATGTATACTCTCGCCTAACCACACCTGTCTTTGGCAAGGGAGTTGCTTATGATGTGCCTAATCCGGTATGTGGTTTGTGTAGAAAGTCATGCATGTGTCAAGGTTCTTATAAGTTTTGTCTTATATTTTGGTTTGATGCTACAAGGGTTAGGAAGTTTAGCTGTCCCTGCCCTACTCGAAGACTGGTGATGTCCGTATCATTCTGGGAACTGGCTGCACCGATGCAGTTGATGCTCTCGATTTTGGTAGTCTCAAAGTGGTCAAAGACTGAACAAGTTTAGACTGTGGTAGTACACATGTGGCCACCCACTGATCTGGACACTTCTTTTTGTAAGTGAAGCCTGCTTGTTCCATTTCAGTGGAAAACAAGGAGCAAAATGCTTGTTGTTTTGTATTCCTACCCCCCTCCCATTACTTCTGTCTCAGTGACTCCAGATTACTATTCATTTTCAGTTTGCTCCTTTCTACAAGTTTCAGAGAAGGAATATCTGTCTGCAGCATTGCAAGGGGAAGCTATTTTTCCAGGCCCCCTACAGCCCCTCCTCCCTAAAACTACAACCAAGTACTTAGGAGACTTTTAATGCAAAAAACTTAATGCTTCTGCCATTACCCACAGATGCTATTCAAGGCTTCTCAATGCAGCAGGCAGCAGCATGAATCCTCTCTAGTCCCTCAACCCTTCTATTTAGGTTGAGAGGGAAGGGAGGTAGCTGATACCATATCCTTGCCATGGGAGGGACTCCAAGGAAAAGGTTTTGTTAATTTTGGTGGACTAAATGGACTTGGACTCCAAATGTACAATAAGGCCAGATATAGACATTACCCTTTTACTGGTAAAAGTGATCAGAGACTAGTCTATACCCATAACAGAACAGAAATTTGGCATGAACAGGCTAGTTTTAAAAGGGCGGAACCAAATCTAAGAGTTGTCCCTGTCCTCTGCTGCCCCCTACCAAAGGGTGAATGTGTGATCTGTTCACTACCAATCTAAATTACACTGCTTGCAGAAACCTGCATAACTTAGATTGATTTTTGCCTTGGGCTTTTTGAATGTCTGTACCTAGCCTAAAAGTTCATATTAACGCCACTAAATGAGGGTCAGGGTTTGCATACGGGAAGGAAGCCTTCTATGGCAGAGAATCACCGTTACAAATTATCTGAGATTTTCAAGGTGCATCTCAGGGAACATAATTTAATTTCATACCAAATCCACTTTAATGAAGTTGCTCTTGGGGTCCACAGATTGGATGCCACAAAACATTATAAATGGAGCAGGACCTCACCTGATAGATAGTCCAGAGTCATGCCAGATATGGTAGGCAGCCTTCTATATAGTTGGCTGCCTTGCCTCTTTACTCTAGGAGTTTAAGGAGACTAAAGCTAAAGCATACGTCTCTTCTGTTGTGGAATGAGCAATTCTGATCTACGGTTAGACTGGAATCTTCTTCCTTCTTGCTTGAAATTAGTCTCTCTTCAGGAAGTTCACTTTATATTGTATTGCCCCCTCATGCAGTACTGAAGTTATGTAGATATGACCTATGAGAACAGGAAAAAACAACATGGTACTTGGGAAAGGCAGGTTCAGTCTTTGACTGCTAATTCAGTCTCTTCTCTTCAGTATGAGAATCACTTAAAGTTCTGTGAAGAGGCTGTCAACTACTGTGGTTTTAATTTCCTAGCGACTCCCATGTTTTTCTATTTCACTATATTTATTTATTGTTAATGGCAAAATGAATATGAAGAACCTCATGTTGCATATCTCTACTGTCTTGATACTTGCAGGTGTTTTTGGAGCAGAAGAAAATGCTAAAAACGGGGCTGAATATAGCACAGTTTAAACAACATGTACCTGTGATCGAAAAAGAAACAAAGGACTACTTTAATTCCTGGGGACAGAGTGGCAAAAGAAGTGAGCAACACCCCATGCTTTGTATTTCAAAAGTTATACTGAAGGCAGTGGCAAGGGAAACAACCAATATTAACATAGTTTAATGGTAGTATTGGAGTGATGTTGTAGCTGTGATGTCCAAAGTATGTGAGGGGCAAGGGTTTTTGTTGGTGATATTTTTCTTACTGGTTGGAATAGAGTGCACTTGGTCCAATAAGAGAGATCAATCACAAAAATCTTTACTTCTCACATAGTTTAGCAGTATTTTTTTTGATACATGATCTACTGCAATGCATTTAATGGAATGAACTAAGACATTTAGGCAAAAAAGTGCCAATCATTTTATGTTCAAAAGAATCAAATACAGAACTTGTTCACTGTTTACACAACAAACGTAAAGATTCTAGGAGAATAAAGCTGTTCAGAAATGCATTTAGAGGTGCACTGATATATCGGTCGCATATCAGATCAGCACCAACAACAGGAAAATTAACATTATCGACAATCGGCTTTAGTGGCCGATAATGTCACTGGTAAATGCCATGTGCATGTGCGCAGCTGCAGCACGCATGCAGCCAGGAATACAGCTGGGCAGCTTAGAGAGCAGCATCTGGCCAGTAAGTCTGTGGAGGAGAAGAGGCATGGAGGAAGGAAAGGGTATGGGGAGGGCAGATCAAGGCCACCACGGTGAGGGAGGGAGTGGGGCAGGCGCTGCCCAGCCAGGGGGGTGAATGTGACCCTGGGGCTGGAAGTGGGATGGAGCTGCAGGGGGGTGGTGATGGGATGCTGGGTGGGTGGGCAGCTTCCCATCACTATGTACCCCCTGGGAAGGCATGAGGGGTATGCCATCTCCCCCCAGATTTGTGCATGGGGTGAGGGCAGGCTGCCTGCTGCAGGCTCAGAGCCAGGGGCAGTGCTTCCCTCTTCCTGGCAGGGGGGCAGGCGCATCCGTGTGGGGCAAGGGGCAGCACTGGTAGAGGGGGCTACAGGGAATTTTGGGGTGGCTGTAGCCCCTCAAAACCCCCCTTGTGCAAGGTAAAGGCAGCAGAGCAGAGTGTCGCAATAAGGGGTGGCGCTTGGGGCTATAGCCACCCCAAAATTCCCTGTAACTCACTCTCCCAGCGCCCTTCTCTACCATCTATCCCAAAACATGCATGCCAAGTAAAATGCCTTCACATGCCATGCTCTAACACGTGTGCCAGGGGTTGCTGACCCCTGTGATAGATACAAGGACATCCAGTTAAGAGGTTTTAAATAAGTGTTACTGCAACATATTCCTCTTTCCAGTAATATTTCCCAGTTATCCCCTCTCTAGTGTCCTATGCCAGAGATCTACCTGTGCAAAAGCATTTTTTGAAACAATCACATTAAAGAGAAAAGCGTTGAGAACTTAAATTACTTGTTCAAGCTATTTGTGGAGAAGAGAAATGAATGGCCTGCAAATTTTAACGCAAATATCCCTGAAATGCTTTCTTACTGATTTTTTTTTTTTTTTCCTTGCTTTTTTCAGACTTATTTGAAGCACTTTCAGAGCTCATTATTTTGACAGCAAGTCATTGCTTACATGGGAAAGAAATCAGAAGCCTACTCAATGAGAAGGTGGCACAACTGTATGCTGATTTGGACGGGGGATTTACTCATGCTGCTTGGCTCTTGCCAGGGTGGCTACCACTGCCAAGTTTCAGGTACCAAAGATAATGGATTAAATATTTCTTGTTGCTTAAGTAACTTGTCTGTTCTTCATCTTTGTGATCCAGGTCTTTCTGGGTCTTTAAATACGTGTTTTAAACTCCAAAAAAGAAAGGAATGCAAGGAAATATCCTTGCAGGAGGAATCTAACAGCAGTATATTAGTTTGTACTGGTATTCCCTGAAACTGGAAGTAGGGCAGTTAACTCCTTCACATCCCTGCTTTATTAGCATTTAAAACATAAGAACTACGGCATAACTAAATGTTTTTTCTTGGCATTAATGACCAACTAAAGGACAATGGTCCTGAAAGAGTCTTTTTTTGTGTATTATTAGTATTTTTAATAAAAGAAAATATGATTTAGTTCAAGGTTGTTGGTTGTAGCTGTGTTGGTTTAAGGACATGGGCAGACAAGGTTCTTTGAGTAAATGTATCTTTTATTAGACCAACTAAATAGTTGGAAAAATTGTTCTTTGCAAGTTTTCAGGCACAAACGCCCTTCGTCAGGCATAGGGAGAGTCTGCTGGTGTGTTGTGCTCTCCTGAGTGGAATAGAAGCCAAAATGCAGATTTTGCAGGAGAGCACACAGAACACTAGCAGACTCTTCCTATGCCTGAAGAAGGGTGTTTGTGCCTGAAAACTTGCAAAGAACAATTTTTCCAGATATTTAGTTGGTCTAATAAAAGATGTCACATTTACTCAGAGAACCTTGTCTGATTTAGTTCAAGGCACCCTTTGGAGAATTGTTCTTTTTCTACAATGCAGATTATTGAGGACAAGAAGATAATATTTCAAGTTGCATCAGGAAAGCTTTTTAGGGATCAGCAGACCACTCCTATCTAATGCCTTCAGCAAAACCGCAACTCAGTGTTTCTAAACTAAATGGAATTATGTTGTCATCTGGATTCAAGATTAGTAATTTAACACCATCTTTACAAAAATGGTTGTTGATATTTTCTTACCTAGAGAAATCAGTTTTACTCCACATTTAGGGTAAAAACATTCAGTAAAATACAGAAGATGTTGCAATCCTTTTATTTATTTAATTAATTCCCAAATTCCAGTGATTTGAATAGGATGATTGATTGCATTTTCATGGAAGGTATGCATTTGTACAATTGGGATCACTGCATAGAACAGTGGTTTTCAACCTTTTTAGTCATGGCACTCCTCTACCACTTTTTTGAATGTGGTGGCCTCCCTGGTTGAGAACCACAGTTGGTGCTGCCTCAGCTTACCTCAGTGCTTCTCAACTGGGTGTTGCTGCTTCCAGATAAAACTGCCCTGCATGCCTGCTGCACAGCCAGCCTGGGAAGGACTGTGGCATGTCCTGTTGCATTAAAGTTCTGATTAACCAGTTCTGTCTGCTGTAAGTTGGGCTGTAGCCCTTTCTGGTCTGGCCTTTCTTAGAAACAAAGGTGTGAGAATGGAACGGTTCTGTGCACCTTGGTTTCCAAGAGGGGCTGGACCAAGAAGGGCTACAGGTGAACCAGCTTCTGCTTGCTTTAGGCTGATTAGAGACCAAATGCAGTAGGAGTCTGTATGGGGCAGTTTTATTTGGCTGCCACAGTGGCAATAGAGCAACTGTGTTGTGGCACCCTTGAAGAGGTTCACAACACCCCAGTTGAGGACCACTGCCAAAGAAGATGATTATAACAGACTTACATTACTTGTTTTTCTGGAACAGTCCATACACAGAGGCAAAACTGGTTAAGTTTATGCTCTGGCTAAACCTACTGCAAGGATAGGTGTCACAGGAGGCAGCCTCATGTTGCTGATTTTGCTAAGAGATGCTGTTGAAAGAACTGTCTCATGCATGAATAACTTACATAGGGTATGGTTTATCTTGGCTTACATAACATGTTTGTAGCTTAAACTCTTTTATTACGAAATATGAATGTTAATTTGGCCACCCTAACTAATAGATGTGAGATAAGGTGCAAAGAAATTATAGTTCGATTTCAACAAAGCAGTTGAAGGCAAGGTTCCCTCCAAGGTGCGCATGTGCGTGGTGGCGCACAATTTCAAATCTTGCCACGCGCCACCTTTTTAATGCCGCGCACCTGCCCTGAGAGGAGCTGGGTGCGAAGTGTGGCAGAGACCTTCGGCCAGTGCAGTACATTTTACCAGAGGTAAGCTCTTCACTCCTCAGGCAACGGCTCCTTCCCGAGGCGATGCAGGGGCAGGGGAGGGGACGATGGCTGGGGCAAAATGCCTCATCATGGTCCTGGGGAACTGCTCTGGCTGTTTTGTTTTTTTTTTTACCTTGTTGCAGCCAGAAACTCTGGCTGCATCTGGTTCCGCTGCATCCAGTGTGCCAGGACATTCATTTAGTTACCAGCCAAGTGGGGGAGGAGTTCATGGCTCTGCTCCTGCTCTTGCCCCGGCCCCAGGGAGGGATCAGGGGGCCCAAGAACTACATCTTGCAAGGGGTCCCCAAAGATTGTGGGCTGGCCTTGCATGTGATTTCCCTCTCATGCAAGTTTTACGCCACTGTAAGTTTCTATTTTTTAATTAAGTCACTGCTGATTTGCAAAGGCATAGATTAAAAGAAAATCTGGGCCTATAAACACCATAGAAGGAAACCATTGCATGTAAGCAGTTCACATGACTTCTAGTGGTGCACAGAACTCTCTTACTGCTTTCTTTATTTTACTTTTCTTTGGCACAATGTTTGGGTAAAGCTATTTAATTTAATATGTAAATACCTATAGGAGTTTCTTCATCAATACACACTCAAGTATTGAGGTTTTGCTGGTATCTGATTTTGTGTGAGAGGAATTGACCCTAACCCTGTAGCTGTTTGTGAAAACTGACAATTTTAATTCTTAAATCGGTTCACGAATTATAATACCCCATAAACGCAATACCTTGCTGCAGTCCTTGAGACACGTTGCAGAGCCCCACCAGGCTTATTCAAACAACACATAAGAGTGCTTAAGCAGAACTCAATTACTATTCAAGTGGTCATATGTTTGTTACGCTATTAATGGGAATGGACCGAAGCGGTGTGCTCACAGACGGATGCGGCACACTCATGGATTGCTACATCTTAAAGGGAACATTGGTTGAAGGCATGCTTAATTTTAAGTAAATAAGTCATTCTCCAGGTAGTTGTCTACCCAAATTCCACTGCAGACACACACAAGCTCTGTGCCTAAGAAAGGTTCTTTTGGATCATGCTGTGTCCCTACATGTCCTCATTGCCTCCCTCACTGTAAGGGTTGGAGAGCCATCAAGCGTCACTTAGCCCTGGATTTAAGAAGCAACTATGTGATGAGACATGTGATATACCTGGATCCATTAACTATTTGACACAGGTTGTTTTACAGATTCTTTTCATTTTAAGTAGTAAGAACGTTCAAGTTACTTGCCTTGGCATAATAATAAAGGTCAGATTTTTTTTCACTAATTCCCCTTGTCTCTGGACAAGGAATTTTGAGTCCACTTTTATAGAAGATACAAGTCACAAAGTGACTTAAATTCACTATGGGAAGTACATATAGCTACTGCTACTGGTAGACTAAACAAGCATAGAATAAGTAACCTCTACTCTGCTTTGGCACTGGAGAGTGGTGGGTCAGCACCCAGCTTTCTAGCTGCGTCATCTCACATATTCTGGTCCTGTTCTGCATTCACAGCAGCACAGGTTAGAGGGAACTGTATTGCAATAATTTCTTTTGTATCATTGCTGCTTTCTGTTTAGGGAGAGATAATTATTTGCATATTTAGAGGTCGAAAATAGAGACGATCAATTAAAATGGTATTAGCATTAACAAGACCTGCTGAAGATTTGAGAAACTGGTTGGAGTGTGTTACAGAAGAGAGTAGATGTCATCTCATTCAACACAATAAAGCAGTATAATAATGTTTTGTTCCAATGCTGCTGTGTCCTTTCATGTGTGTTTTGCCCTGGTGCCTGCAGAGTCCTGTGATGCCATGTCATATAACTCTCATTAACCCACATATAACTTGTGATGAAATTCGGTGTCTCAGATATTAGATATCTCTTGAGATATATAATTGTCAGTGACCTTTGAAATTGTTATAGAACACTGATAAATATTTAGACAATGAACGATTGTCACTAAAATACTCTCTTTAATAAAAACATTCATTGGCATCCTAGATGTTTGATCTAAATGGGATTTAATTATTTGTAAGACAAACTATACCTGTTCTGATAGATCTTTACATGCATCTTTGTTTATTTTATGCACGGACACTAATAAAGATGCTTTGTGTTACAGACGTAGAGACCGAGCACACAGAGAGATAAAGAACATTTTCTATAAGGTTATCCAGAAACGGCGCCAGTCAGGAGAAAGGGAGGATGATATGCTTCAAACGCTGCTGGATGTTCGATATAAGTAAGTGAAAATTGAAGATGTTGCCACATGTAAACATTAGGAGGAAGTGCTGAGTATTTAACACTTTTATACAGGAGGCTTCATTTACCAATGTTTTTCTAAATTGCATGTTGCTTCTCATGCCACACATCATCCTTGGATCTTAGATTTTCCCGTGTGTGCTGTTTGCTGTAGCCTTTTGGAGATGATATCCCTTTTCCTGTCTTTTTGACTGTAATTGTAACAGTGAGGGTTCTAGAAGCTGGTTTTGCCTTTTCCATCTCCTTGTAGAGCTTGAAGAACTTTGCACTTTTTAGGGTTGGACTTTGAGGCACCCAAATAGTAGACTTCAAAGTAAGAATACAAGAAAAAATGAAAATCTGGCCCAAGTATGTTCTTATGACATATTATACAAATGATGTGTAGAAGTACCATGCTAAATCAGATTAATGGTCTATCAAGCTCAGTATCCTGTCTCTGATGGTGAGAAGTACAGTAAAAGCTCTATTATCCGGCATCCCCCATTCCCAGGGGATGCCGGCTAATCAAATATGCTGGTTAATCAAATGTGCGCCGTCTGGTGCTCTCCCTGGCATTAGTGTGCCAGGGGAGAGGCAGTGGGGCCCTGCGCAGGCTGCTTTGCCCCAGGCCATGGGGTGAAGAAGTGACAAAGAAAAACTTGGCCTGCGGCGGTGAAACTGGAAGTCCCCCGGAAGTGGTAGTTCCAGTTTTGCTTTTGCTGTGTCCCTCGGAAGCCGGTTAGTAGAGTTTTCTGGCTAATAATGTGCTGGTTAACACAGCTTTTACTGTAGTATGATGCTGTAGAAGCAGAGTATATAAACAAGACAAATATTAAGTGATCCTTCTCAAGTCATACTTTTCCTGGCTTCAACTATCATTGGTTGGTGATGTTGGAAGATATGCCCCTGACTGCTCTCTTTCATGGAGGACAGATCCATAGGGAACTATTAATTTGTCTTATCCTTTTTTGAATATGGTTATAGTATCTGCAGCTACAACCTCCTGTAGTAGTGAGTTCCACAGTTAACTATGTGCTGTTTTGTGTTGTTTTTTTCTAAAAGCCTTCCTTCAGTTTGTTTTAAACCTATTTCCTCATCATTTCAGTAGCTGCTCCCTAGTTCATGTATTCTGCGGCTTGATGAATAACAGTTCCCTATTTACCTGATTCACATCCTTCATGAATTTACTGGCCTCTATCATATTCCCCCTCAGCTTTTTCCTTGCTGAAATGAAGTGTCTTAATATTTTTAGTTTCTCCTGACATTGCAGCTTCTCCATAGCCCTGACTATCTCTGACTTTTTCTGTACCTCTTCTTAATTTTAATACATCTTTCTTAAGATGTGGAAACCAGAACTGTGCTCAGTATTCCAGACATAGGTGTACCGTGGATTAATACAGTGGCATAGTGATGACAAATCCATCCTCTCTCCATACAGCCTCCAGTATAACATCTTTATCTTTTAGTGATCAAAGCATATTTCTCACTTCGCTTGCCTGTCCTGATTCTCGAATTCTTAGGGTAAAGAATTCTAAATGCTTACAGGTGAGATTACCCCTGTGTTACAGTAGGAGTATTTTCTCAGGAGTTAGCTCCAAAGATCAAATCAGATGCCCCTTCCCTAAGCCTCTTGATTTTAATTTTTCTAATCAAGGTGAATGATTTTTAATTTGCAGTTTTCACATTTATTATATGAGTTAGAAAGTTAGATTATATCTCCTGCTGGATATCTCATATTCTTTTGTGCTACCCTCCAAGCCTCTCTCAAAATTTTTCAGCACTTCATCTTTCTATGAAATAGAAATAGGCAGATACTAGGCACTCTGTTTTCCATATACAGATAAAGAATATGTCTGTGAACAGGTGATTCAAAAATCTACCATGCTTAAAAAGCAGGCTTCAGGGGAGCTCTTGCCAAGGTTTTATTTAACGGTAGATCCAGGCCATGTATATAGATGTTCAGTTTCTGCCACAATCGCTGTTCTCCTGGTAGAAACTGCAAGTGTGCAGATGTTCTAGTTTTTTCTCGCAGAGCAAAAATGGCAGAAAAATGACCTGACACCTTGCGTTGCCACTGCCCAGGTCTTTGCTAGGATTGGACCCTCTGCTACCCCTTTCCAGCCCTACATGCCAGGATTGGGCTCTGTACTGCCCTGTGTGGTGATTCAACACACAGGGCCCTGCTGTCCAGTTTGTGGGGCTCCCTAAGGGTCTTTCCAAAATTCTAAAGGAATTTTGGAAACTTCTCTCCTGTCACCAAATTTTTGGACCTATGGGGAGCTCTGTGGGCCAGATGACACAACTCCAGGGGCCAGATCTGACCTGTGGGCCAGGGGTTGAGCACTCTTATTCTAATGCAGTGTTTCTCAACCCATGGGTTGCAAGATTTCAGAAGGTCGTGAGCCATGGGTTGAGAAACACTGATCCTGGGAAAATGTGGAGACTGCGGCAGGGAAGAGTGGCAGGGGGAAGGGGGGTGGGGGAGAGTGAGGCCGGGCTGGATGCTTGTGGAGATGGGGAAGCTGGGTGATGCTGCTCGGGGTGGAATGGGCTGTGATCAGGCTGCCTGGTGGGGGCTGCCACAGGCCTCTCCTCCTCCCTGTAGTTCGCTGCCGCCCGCATGAGCCGGAGCCACTGCAGCCATCATGCTCTGGCCTGAGCAGGATGGGGGCAACTGGAGGCCCCTCCTGCAGGGCTGGGGGGGGGCGAGGCCATGAACCTTTGGAAATGGGTTCTGGTAGGAAAAAGGTTGAATCACTGCTCTAATATACATCATCTTAATCTAGGGATGGCCATCCTCTGACAGACGACGAAATTGCTGGAATGCTTATTGGGTTACTGTTAGCTGGTCAGCATACATCCTCAACCACCAGTGCTTGGCTTGGCTTCTTTTTAGCTAGAGACAAATCAATACAGGAGCAGTGTTATGTGGAACAGAAAGCAGTTTGTGGAGATGACTTGCCACCATTAAGTTACGATCAGGTTTGTATGTTGCATAATTTTTTACAGGCTAACTTTGCAATGGAATATTTCTGGCACAAACATGGTCAATTTGAAGTTAGTGACTGAAAGTACATTTTAGGTTGGGGCGGGCAATTATTTTGAGCGGAGGGCTGCTTACCCAGTTTTGGCAGGCGGTCAAGGGCCACATGGGTAGCCCTGCCCTTTGACAGGAGCCCTACCACTTGATGGGTGCCCCGCCCCCTGATCACCATCTTGGGACCAACATCCCAATGACTTGGGACCAATGTCCCAGGGCCAGCACTGGTGGGGCCCAAAGCAGGGTGCAGGCTGGCCGGGGTCTGTGGAGCTGGGCTGGGCTGCACCAGCAGGGAGGGGGGAGCTGGCCCGGCTCCATAGAGCCCCTGCTGGCTGGGACCCCGTGCTCCCGCCACCCTGCTCTGGGCCCCACCGGCACTGGCCCCGGACACCAGTATGGGCCCTGTGCTCCAACTGGCTGCCCACCCGCTCACACTCAGTGCCCCACAGCCCTGTGGTACAGGCGGGGGACAGCACACAGTCCCGACTCCCTGCTCGCCAGCAGAAAAGTAGCTGATGCTGAGCATGGGGAAAAGTGGCCCCTCACCTGCCCCATGGCTGACGCTCCCTGCTGCAGCTGTCCAGAGTGGGCATAGGCAGCCCCATGCAGGCTGCAAGCAGCTGCAGTGTGGGGCACAGGGCATGGGTGGGGAGGGGCTGCTTTCCCCCCCTCCCACTCCTTCCTTGCCCAGGGTCCGTTGTGTCCCCCCGCCCACACACACTTACCTGAGCTTCCTGCGCCAGGGCAGCCACATGTTCCCAGCCCCAGAAACCCTGGCTGGGGCTGCTGGCTGGGGGGCGGGCCCCACTGTTGTTGGAGCCCGCTGGGCTTCCTTTTGACAGGAACCAAGGGCAGAGAAGTATTAATTACAAGGTGGTAGCTTGTATTCTAATATTGTATCCTAAGCAATGTTTTTCTTCCGTTACATGAAGAAGCAGAAACAAAGAAACAGCGTAACTAATCAAGTATCTATTGAAAATGAGCTGCATAAGATGTTGATTTTTCAAATAGGAAAAAATACTTGTTTTAATGTTGGATATTTTCTAAAACATGAAGAAACTATATGTTTACCTTACTTACAGCTGAAGGATCTGAACTTGCTGGACCGTTGTCTAAAAGAAACTTTAAGGCTTAGACCTCCTATAATGACGATGATGAGAATGGCAAGGACTCCTCAGGTAAGTACATTAGAGTACACAGTCTGTAATATAATCTTGAGCATAAATCTCTCATATCTGAAGACATGACAGAACCAGAATTTAATAAGAAGTGAAACGCTGAATGATGACAGCAAGTTGTGCAGTGAGGTGCAAAGTTGGGTAGTCACTGACTGACATGTGGGAGCAGTGTAATATGATCACTTTAGAAGCTGCAGCTCTAACGCACAGGCATTGTGAATCTGCTACAGATTATTCTAAGGACACAAAACATATCACGCTTGTTCTCCAGAACATACACATATAGCCTCGTAAACTTGTCTGCTTTAGGTATTTGTGATGCACAAAATCAACCATGTATTATGGCTCTTTTGACAGTGTTAATCGTATCTCCTCTATAACATGCAATTCCTGTCTCCTGCTTGATAGCTTGTTCATTTTGTGCTTTTTGAAAAATCCCTTGGGATTGAAGCCTTGGTGGAAACTCCTCCCCTCTCCTCCAAAAGGGGAGGGAGGGAGAATAGCTGGCTTCCTGACAGTGTGGGGAGCAAAGTTGCAGTCCAGCTGCCACCTGAGGCCACAGGCGAGCTCTTGAGCTGCCACCATGGCAGAAGGGACTGTCCCCGGGAGGAGGGGGCAGGCAATGGCAGAGATAAGTGCTGCTACTGCCCCCTGTGTTGGTAGCAGCAGTTCCAGCTGTCAGAACTCACTGCTGCTCTGCACTCCAGAGCAATGCCAGACTCTCTTCCAGCTATCAGAGCCTGGCACTGCTGTGCACCCTGGAGCAGCACTGGGCTTCTTGCCAGGTGACAGATCGTGGTACAGCTCCATACCTTGGGGCAGTGCTGGCCTGTCCTCCAGCCAGGATTTTCTCCAGCTGTCTGGGAGCCTGGCACTGCTCCAAATTCGGATCAGTAGGTATCAAAGAAACCACCCCCTCTGTCACTTGTGGGATTGGTGAGGGTTTGAGTTGCTGATCTGAGGGTTGCAGTACTGCCAGTGAAAACCCACTACTCCTAGACTAACATAGTTCCTCTGGCAGGGCAGAGGGTGGCTGTCAGTGGTTAGATTCCCTGACAGATTCTCCTGTGAGGGGTGGGGAATGAAGGAGCAACCTCCAATTACCCCATGGCTGGGAAACATGCCTTTGTGGTAGTGTAGAGCTGGAATAAGGGGCCTCTGAAGAAGCATATTCCCCCATAGCACTCTCTCTTTATAGTGCTACAAATGAACCAAGGCCACAGGCTCCACATTTCTTTTTTATAAGCATTTTCCTGTGTCAGCCTCCATTAGCAGAGCTAGCTCCACATCTTACCCAGTAACTTTTATATCAGGATGCTTAAATGCCACAAAGTACTTTCTGGTATTTCATCAGTTTGTTGCTAGATGGAGGCTACATTACTAATGCAGGCTACATTACTCTGAGAGCAAACGTCTAGCTTGTACACTGTAAGAAGAGATAGGTATGTTAGTCTGAAGTCAGGCAGAAGGTACAGCAGGGTAGCACCTTAGAGACTAACTGGTTCAGAGAAGCAAACTTTTGTAGGTGACAGCTTGCTTAACCTACAGTCAGATGTTGTGACAATCCTCTACAAAAGCTTATGCCTCTCTGAACCATTTAGTCTATATGGTGTTACTCTGCTCTGCTTTATAGTACAATAAGCTTTTTCTGTTGGCTAAGAACTGCTTTCTTTATACATGTTCTTCTGAAAATAGAACCTTTTTTTTGGTGGCTGGTTAGGTATTTCTCAGCATTTAGACTATTGTTTCTGACTGACTGAATAGCATTGCCACCAAATTAATTTAGGAGCTTTCTCAGTACTGCCTCTAATTATTCATATTTTTTTCATTTTGCTTTGTTTTACCAAACCAATGCCCACAAATACTTTGTAGTACCAGCCTCTTCACTAGATGTTTTTTTTTTCCTGCTCACTTTATGGATGCTTTTTGTAACATGTAGGGCTTCTTTCTTCCCCCTGTAGACTGTTGCTGGTTATACTATTCCTCCTGGTCACCAGGTCTGTGTATCTCCTACTGTTAATCATAGACTTAAGGATTCTTGGGTAGAAGCTTTAGAGTTCAAACCTGATCGTTATCTCCAGGATAATCCAGCAGCTGGAGAGAAGTTTTCATATGTGCCATTTGGTGCAGGTAAGTCAAAGAATACTGTAAAGAAATTGCTTTAGGTGGCTGACGTAGTGGTAGAATATTAAGGAAGTCATTCAAATACTGGATGCCCAGTGCCACAGTTGACTCAATTCACTCTAATAAAAACAAATTCCGTGGGTCCTAGTAAATCTGTAAAACTTTTCTTCTATTGCTGCATGAAGCATCCTTTCAAATGGAAAACTGATTGTTCATGTAAAAACAGCCAAACAGACTGTGCAAGTGCTGTATAATATATAAAATAAACAGTTCTTATTCTTTTAGTTCTAGTAATTTAATGTATTACTTGAAATAAATAAGAAATCTTTAAATTTTTGTTACTTTACAGTTTGAGGTTCTTAACATCAGGGAAAAACCCATTAATGCAGAGTCAACAACTTTTTTGTGTTGAATTCTTGCATCAACAATAACTGTATCATTGTACATAACATTCAGACCTTCAGAAGTTAAATGTGAGCAAAGAGCAACTGCTCTGGAAACAATGTCTGAAGAGTTGGCTGACTTTGTGTTTAAATTCTCCTTTAATACTGCATTGATGTAGTGTTTTAGCAGAAAATAGCTGTACATGGTAAGAGATTTGTGAATGTCAAGGTAACGCATGTTAGTTCTTATATCAAATTTCTCCCATGTTTAATGAAAAGTGATGTGGCTGTTCCTTTTTTTTTTTTTTGCTTGTTTTCTTAAGTATTGGCCCCAATCCAGTGAAGCACAGGATTGTATGTTTTTTATTAATTGGGACCATAATTATAATTGTTTAGAACTAATGAACACCTTTGTGTTAAATTTACAGCGTTACTATTGTATTGATGGTGTTGAGTTCATAGAAGTGTGATAGCTCTCTCTGCTCTGTGGACTTCCCTTTAGGTCGTCATCGTTGTATTGGAGAAAATTTTGCATATGTTCAGATTAAGACCATTTGGTCTACTTTGCTTCGTTTATATGAATTTGATCTCATCGATGGATATTTTCCTACTATAAATTATACAACTATGATTCACACACCTAATCATCCAGTTATCCGATATAAGAGACGGTCGTGCTGAGTTTGTGATACAGAAATATTTATATCTAAATGGCAAAAATTGTTGTTTTGAATAAAAGTTATGACAAAATTAAGTGGTTCAGAGAAAATATACTATCCCATTGGACATGTAGTATAATGGAAATGAGATAAACCTAACTACAAAATATGGAACCATTTAGTACTTTGTACATTCTACAATAACAAGATTTTTATTAGAAAAGGCAGCATTTTATACTTGTGTAATAATTTTTAGGCAGATACCAAATAATTATTAGAATTGAATTAGTTTCAAGTAATCACAGGTGAGGAAATAAAAGGTTTAAATCTTAATTTCTAATGACTTTTTAAAAACCTACCATGTTTGAGCTAAACCAGGGAGCAAGTTTGTGCACTTGTGGACACTTGGTGCTTCTGTGCAGTTTGAGATTCTGTTACCTCAGTGTGGATGTGTAAGCATACATGTGTATCCTGAACATGCATAGTAAACTATACATGGCTGTGCAGGTATGTGGCTTATGTAAACATGCCTGTTGTGGACCCCAAAGTCACAAAATTATAGCCAGACCAAAAAACACTGACTGGGAGCAAGGGAGAGGAGGAAAGACAATGACCCTTCCATGTTTTAGTGCTAATAGCTAACTGGTGAGAGCAGAAAGGAAGGAGGAAACCTGAGTTGTAAATCCCCCTTCACCCAGAGAATTTTGAGGCTGCATATTCCTGATTGCTACATCACAGGTTAAGCATTGTCCAGTTTCCTCTTCAGCACTCCTTTTGAAGCAGAGCCACACAACACCTTGAATTTGATACTTTTTGGATTAAATGGATGGAGTGAAATAGATAAAGCTTTCTGTTTCCTGGAAGTAAGGGTCTAAGCTAGAGCTCAGGACTCTTTATGTGGCTGGAAAAATGCCATTTAGCTACACAAATGAAAATTCCTCCCAAGTGATTTAGATACCTATTTTGAGGCAGTTAAGAGACATTTTCAAAAAACTAGGCAAACATTTAAATAGATCCATTAAGTTGTCAGGTTGGGCACCCAGAATAGGTTAGTCACTCTTTGAAGTATTAGTGTAGGTATAATAAGTAGCAGAACTTCACAATTTTGTGAATGAATAAATAGTAAGCAGAGTAAGGCAGTTGTCAGAAAAATATGCTTGTGTCCATGTAATTTTAAATGTGTTCTTTGTCTACAAGAAGCTGAATGAAATAGCTAAATATTGTGCTACTACCGATTATTTTTCACCAGTATTGTTAATTGTACATTTTTAAAGTGGAGTGGTGATAATGGATGGAAAGTAGCTCTGACATGCAAAAAAATTTCATTAAAATTTATGATTTTTTTTGGTGAAAAGTTGTTCTTTTCTGCGCTCAGAGCTGTGTATGTAGTGTCAACCACTTATTCTTGAAAGACTTTAAAACATTATTTGAGTTTTTCATTTTGTTTTAATTTTTTACTACTAAAGGAATGAATAACTATGAACTTGGCATTCAAAAGCATCAATAACAAGTTACTGCCCTTTGCTGAGAGCATAAAACAGCCTTATTATTAATGGTCATTTCTTATTTTAAACATGGACTAATAAAAAGCCTGAACATGTAGATCCTCACTGTAGGCAATTCCTGTTGTAGGAGGCCCTGCTAACAAATCGTTTCTATGGTTGTACAAGAGAAATCAAAGCAATTAAAAATTACAGCATCATAATGTAATCAGTGAGAGCTGGGTTGGGTTGGACTCCTTTCCTAGTCAGTAGCTGTCAGGTTCTAGAGTAGATTATGCACTTTTTGGGGGGGTAAAGTTTGTATTAAATTGCATGTTCTCTTATGCATACATATACAGCCATGTCTCCATCAGGTTCAACCCATACTGAGGACCCTCCTAAGAGGAGGCAGATGGTTCATAGGTTAAAGCATTTTCTGTCCCTTCAGCTGGGACTCCATTGGCAAACTGTTCACCAGACAAAGCAGTTGAAAGAACCGAAAGCACTTCTCTATAAACTTCTTTTAAAGAACCATCTGTCACACTTTCACCCCATGTAGAGCTGCACCAGTGCAAACTGGAAATGGTGAATGGCACATAGTCACATTCACCATCATAACACCTACAAATCCCCCTTCTTCATGAGAGTCTGTTGTAGTAGGAGGGACACTCTTCTGACTTGGAGAGCAACAGAAGAGGTTCCTCCACACCTTAAGGAAAGGGGTGCTATAGCAGCTATTTTCTGCTTTTAAAAAGAAAGTGAATTGAATTCAGCTTTTTAAGGTCCAAGAAAGGCCACATTCCCTAAGTCAGTGTCAAAATGGTTACCTTGGTATGTATCTTCTCATCCTTGAGCTGGGGACTGCTTCATAGCAGGATGGTGGTGCAAGATGGTTATTTCCATATGGCTTTCTTACAGATAATGCCTTTGTTTCATGACAGATCAGGACCAATATTAACATCAGCTCCTTTTCTTTGGCTTATTCACAAGCCTGGGAATCTTTACCCAAATCCTTTTACTTGGGGCTGCATGCCTCAGAATATCAAGTACATGCATCTCAATACCTGGCTGATAGAAGACCCTATGGAAGAGCATGTTAGAAAGTCTACCAACTACCTTGGCACTCTTCTACTGCTTAGTCCTGTGGTTCAGCAACCAGAAGTCCACTATGACTCCAGCACAAACGTTGGCCTTCACTCTCACTTTTCTGAACATAGTGTCAGTGCTGGCCTATTCTGCTAGTATAATTCTGAGCCCTAAAAGAATTTGTTTTTCCACAACAGATGTGAAAGCATGCCTCAATGCTTATCTATACACCTTTGTCAAACCACATGCCAGATTTCATCTCAGGGACATGTAGGTCTGGCTTTGGACTCTAATTTCCAGAGAGAGAGTTTCTGACCATAAAGATAACTATCCTGGGTTCTACATTCTCCATAGGATAGGAGATGGACCAAGTAATGTAGGTTTGGATGTGGCTTTCCTTCCCTCTGCTGCATCAGGGTTTATGATAATGCAAGTGTATATTGGGTATTTGCAAATACAGGGCCCTCTGAACAGAGGATGAGGAACAGGATACTAATTGCTGTGCTGACAAAATACAGTGGGCATATTGTATTCTTACTGGACAGAGAGAGATGCCTTTGAAAAGATGAGCTAGTCATATGACCTGACATTCAAACTTAATCTGTCCAGAGGTGCTAACAAACAGAAGATCCAATCCAATTCCACTAGAGTTAATGGGAGATTTTTCATAGACTTCAATGAGAATTCAATTCAGCCCCAATTATGCAGCCATTCAAGAAAAAAACAATGGAAAGAACAGGACACAACAGGATTGCTCCCCAGCTCTCACAGTGGCATCAGTTAGATCAGTGGTTCTCAACTCCCTTAGCACCCTTCAATATCTCTTCTGAATTTAGATTCTAGCTCAGTGATTTAGAAAAGTTATGGAGAGTGCCTTGAGGCTAAAATGTGGAGACCCATGGGTTTATATGAAATTGATTTCACTGATGCATATTTTCCTACTATAAATTATACAACCCTGCTTTACACACCTCATAAAGTTATCAGATATGAAACAGTTATGCTAAATTTGAGTTAGAACAACTGTTTTGAGTAAATGGTGACAAAATTAAGTGCTCCATAAAAAAAGGAACTTCTTCATTTGATCAGTGTTATGAAAATGAGGGAAATCTAGCCATGACATGTGAAACCACTACACCTACTATAACTCCATTCCTGAATCAGTACTTTGTAGGACATACAGTACATTTACCGGGTTTTATTTATAAAAATGCTGTCTTCTATTTGTGTAGCAACTTTAACATGGATTCAGGCCTGACAGTTACCTAGCATTCAACTCACCAGTCAAATCCCAAGCAAGGAAAAAGCCATTTTTCAAGTGTAAATCTTAACTTCTAGAATGAGCATATGTGTTAACCTACTTCCCTTCAACCACCTAAACTAAGGAGTGAGATGCAAGTCTCCATGTACAGTGGGACTAGAATCTGTTCTGATGGGATCGTTGTAACAACCAGGGTTTGAATTACATTCTGACTCTTGTGGGGTGACGGTGGCGGCCAATAGCTGAAGAAGCCACTACTGCTGCCGTCTGAGGTGCAGGGCAGGCTCTCATCTGATGGGGGAGCTCTTGTCTCTTATGGGGAGCTCAGCCCCCCGAGCTCCCCTGGTAACAACTGAAATTGGAAGGTTTGCTTTGTGTGTTTGTAGCCTGTCACAACTGCAGAAACGTACATACTGTTTTATGTAATAAATACATTCTTATTTTCAAGAATGAACCTAGAATTGCCATGGAGTTTTAATAAAAATCATAATATTTTCACAAGAGGGATAGTAGAATGTTTACATCTTATTGGTCATCTGAATACTGGAAATGGACAATGCACAAAGACTTTGAAAGAGTAACTGGGGACTTGAGGCAGTTTTCAGAGGTTTTGTATTTTCATTAAGTGGTACAGAACCATTCCGTAAACATTTAAGTCCATTTAAATTGTGTCGAGGTTACTTGGTCTCATTTTAAAGTAAGCAAATTAGTATTAGAATCTCACAAATAGCTGATTTCTGCAAATTAGCAAATAGTAAGTAGAGCAAGACAGTTCTCAGATTCTTGGAATGGAAAGGAATGCTTTTTAAACATGCTCACTTTCTCAGGCAAGCATATGATGTAACAACTTTGCATCACTATGAATTGTTTTTGCCCTCAGAACTTTTGTGTATTTTGAAGTGGGGTGGTAGTAGATAAAAAGTAGTTGCCTTGCAAATAATTTATTTCAGTTTTTTGTGACAATTGTCAGTGCTCAGAACTGTGTACATGCATATAAAAAAACTGACTTTAACTCTCATTGCTAAACAAATGAATAAAATTGCTAAACAAATGAATAAATATGAAATGAGCATCACAATGGCTACTTATAATCATCAGTGATAGTTACTGCCTTTTGCTGTGAGCACAAAACCACCTCATTAAGTCATTTCCCATTTTAAACACAGGAAAAGCTTGGGCATGTTAAGCTCACACCTTAAGAAATTTTCATTATGCAGAGGCTTAATAAAAATCTGTTTCTGTGGTGGAACAAGTGAAATGAATACCACAACTTCTATAATGTAATGGTGCAAGCTGGGTCTCTCTGCACTTAGCTGCTAGCAGCCTCCTTGTGCTGATCAGTATAAACACTTCCTACCTATTTCTTTCAGCTGTTGAGGCTTGAATCACCCAGACTGGTAGTCTGGCTGTAGTAACGTGCACAGAAACCAAGGTGGCTCTTCTACTCCAAACAGTTTCAAACAATACAGCATTTAAAAGGATGAAGTCATCTTTTATTTCAGTACTTTGACAAAATACCCATAAAATTCAAAACTTTTACCATTACAAAAATAGGTCTCTACAAGTGATATTTTGCCTGCACTGCCAATAGCAAATATATTAGAAGAGAGTCATGTTAATTCAGTAGCCTTACCAGAAAAACAGTGCAGTGCACTTTGAGCTACACTCTGCAATCTCACTAATGCTTAAGTTTCATACTTGCACCCGCTCGATAAATACACACTTTTTTCATAAGTTAATCATTTAAATTAGCATTCCACAAATATACATGTAAAATTAATGATTGATTTTTTTTGAATGAACACCAGGTGCCTATATACAGAAATTCCAGTCTGCATGGATGTGCCAGCAAGGGAACTGTATACAATCGTACTGCTGCGTTCATGTTGGTCCCACAAAATACACATTATACAAAAGCACAGGAGCACAGATTTACAAAAGGCAATTTCGTTTATGTCACTACCAGTGATGGAAATATTGAAAGGTTATTATCTTCTCATACCACAGTGCAACTGAGTGTAGGAAGCAGAACCTGTAAAATAGAAAAAGAGAGTTTAGGTAAAGTGCTGGGTGACTAAAGAGGTTTACTCATAGGGTTCACGGGCAGTCATTAGACTATCTACAATAAGCTTCAGATGGCTTCAGTGAAAATTATATCAAGTGGCTGGATTAACAGTAACTCTTAGGAATAGCTCACATGCAGTCTGACAAGGAGTTTTGGATCCCATTAGCTCACAGCTATATTTCTGTTACAGTTATAAAATCAAACATTTAGTGCTTCACTGGGGAAGTGTCTCCTTCAGAAGTCATGTAAGGGGCAAATACTGCAGTATGTCTAACAAGTACTGTCAGACAGGGAGCAAAAAGGCAGAAAGGTTACCAAGAGGGGAACTTTGTGCAAGTTATCAGAAGTGGAGCAGGGCAGCTCTGCAGCTGGGCTGGTGCCATGCTGACTGCAGTGGTGTGATAATCTGCCACTCCAGCGGTGGCTATTTTTGCAGCGTCTGGGGCTGCTGCGTTCAGTTACACTACAGCTTGTGATGACTTGTAAAAGCCCTATCCAGCTGGGATTCTTAGCAATAAAATTCTTGCTTCAAAGTGATTTGAGAGCCTAGACAAAAACTTTAGTGAGACTCGAAATCTGTCATGTCATGCTTAAATGTAACGCAGGACTCCAAACAGTTTCCTCCTACAGTCTTTCAGCTTTTTTTTCTTGTGGATATTTGCTGCCTGCTTTCTGTTCAGCTGCAAGTCTTAAATCAGAGAGAAACTATGCCTAAAACTCAGCTTCTATCAGACTTACTAACAAACCAACAGATGCTTTGCAAGTCAGACCAGGTACTGAGTGACTTGTTTTGCCAAGAGACCATGACAAGGAAAGCATGAGTATTTACCTGACTGAACACTTCCAAGTCGCCTCTGTAGTGCTTCTAGCCGATTAATGTAATCTGTTAAAGCTCTGTCAGGATCATAATTTTGCAGCTGAGGGCATGCAAGGGAAACTGGATTTATATCAGCATGGAAGCCATGGTACCTAGAGGAAGAAAAACCATGAAATATAGCTTTTAAAATTTAAAAATACTGTACTTTCTGTTTCCAAAGGGAACTGTATCAGAAATAGCTAAATGTTATGGCTCTAAGTATATATGGTGACCTTTACTATTGGTCTACAAACTGTCATATTTTCTCTTATGCCTTCTTCCCCTATCAACTGCCCCTCAACCTCCCCTAAACCACCCAGTCCGATTCCCTTCTCAGCTGCCAAACTTCTTGCCATTCCTGAAGCCTCAGTGCAAAGGCAGGATGGTCAGACTCCTCCAGACTGCACAGCAGTAATTTCAAGTGTTTTTTAGTACATCCCTCTTAAACGCATTTAAGCAAGGTAGTGTTCTTGTTGCTAAATCATGCAAGACAGCTAAAACTGATGATGCTTTTTCTAATACTACTTTTTTCTTGAAAACAGCTGCTATGGTTATGGATATACAAATTGGAGGCCAGAGGTTTTGTACAACAGTAAACAATGGGGAAGTGTCCACGGTGCATCCTAATTCTCAGGGCCACTGCATCTTCAAGGGGCCTAGGTCAAGCTACAGAAGTATGGCTAAACAAAAGGCCCCAAAGCCTATTTTTAAGTAACTGCAGCGTGAAACTTGGCTGATGTGACATCTAGCTTGTCAGTAAAGGAAGTCATCCACATGTGTCTGTCTAAACCAGTAATGAAATGCAATTAAACAGAGCACAAGGCCTGAAAGGAGACATTATATGGCACAAACATTAAATAATCCAAATACACTATGCTTTATCTTGAAATATTATTAGTAGTAATAGATGTAACTAAATATTAGATGTTATATATTGCTATAACATATATTTTTGTTAAGATGCTTAGTTAATTTCTAAAAACAAAACAGCCTTATTAGAAAAAGGTCATCAACCAAGGTAAAGAAGAAACAGGACAGTGCTGAACAGCACTCCACAATGGGGGAGGAAAGAAGATAAGAAACCCTCCCTTTTACTTTCCTGAGGATATAAATCCAGCTAATTAACACCTTCCAAGTCTACAAGAGATCTGGTTCAGTCCAGTTCCAAAAGTTTCGGTATAGCAAAAATATTTAAATAAAGCCAAAGAACATTTATTAAAATATTAAAACCAAACACCTATAAATATGGAGTATAGGCTGGAGGGAAATTTGGAGAACTCAGCAAATTCAAGGAGACCTGCTGCCAATCTGCATACTTCCTCCTACCTCAAGTCTCCCCAGCCTGTACAGGTAAAATTCTAGGTTGTGCTGTCACAAATAAGACTTAGGGATAAATGTTTTGTGTTTGAAGCGCAAGCAAATAAAAGGTTGGGGTGTGGACCTATTTCTGCCTCTCTTATCAGTAGCCAACCCGCAAGGTTATCTGTCATCTGAAAAACATGGCCCATGGTTTGAAAAAGTTTGTGAACTGTTGGCACCTGATTTTAAGATAGCCTAAGGGATGTACAACTCCATGCAAACTTTGTAGAGGTTACAAAGGCTCCAAAAATCTTGTCTTTTACGTGAAATCCTGGCTCCACCAAGGTGACAGTTTCACCTCTAGTGCTATGGTGGCCAGTCTTCTGTGCAACTATGAAAGAGGGTTTGCACAAAACATAGGCATCATTTTGCAGCAAGTACAATTGGATGGTTTTAAAACATAGTTGATTGGTCCTGTTGGACATTGTATTCATCAAAAGGCTAAAAACAGACAAGCCAGGGCTTGAACAGGCACATGAAGAAACTTAGAACAATGACAGGGAAAATATGGGATGTTACATACAAAAAGTGAAATTGCAAACTTTGAGTCCCAAAATGACACACACATATTATTTTTTAGTAAACAATGTTTACTATTACTTTGGACAAACAGTGATAATTAAATGCAAAGTTACCTTTGCTGAGAATTTACAGGAGATCGGGGAGACTCCAGGTCTGATCTAGATCTGAGAGAGGAATGTCTTTGTTCTCCATAAAGATCAAGACCACCAGAGAAAGAATCAGACCGTTGCTCATTACCTAAAACAACAAAAAAGTATCATCCGTGGGAAAAATACCAATCCCTTAAAAAACCCCCAGATGTTTTGCACTTTAACAAATACTCCAAACGCGTGTGTAGCAGCGAGGTGCCCCCACAGGCTCTTGAGGGAGAGAGAAGAGAGCCCGCGGATCCCAGACCCCGAGAGCAAGCCCCCAGAGGGGTGTACGTACCTGCCGAAGAGCAGCAGGAGCCGCGTTC